GTTCCGACGCGTCAGGATTGTTTGGCACCTTGCTGTGTTGAATTGCCGCAAAGCTTTTGCCCAGCTGACCAATTTCCCAGTGATCATTTTGCGCGACTGAAGATGTTTATGTCCTGCGCAATCCCAGTCCAGTCAGATTTTTTGCATGGCGCAGTCGTATCCAGCGCGGACTTGGCAACATTTTTTTGGGTCAGGAAGTGGAACGTGCCGCATTCTGGCATGTTGCATCCATGAAGTTTGGTGACCAACGTGCAGCTTTTGACGGGCACAGCAATGTTTGGTTTCCCGACTGGTTAGGAGCTGTCCAGCTGGTGCTGGACAAATGAAGCTTGTGTTGACGTCACTTTTTGGACTGCATTGATCAATCCCGAACTGCCGGACCGACCGCTTTTCACCTATCGTCCTTTCTTCCCTGGCATCATCCAAGGAATTCAGGGGCCATCGCGCCGGTAGTGCTTGCGCATGTAACAGCCGTAGCCTTTGCTACTCCACTACGAGGTTTCGCCAACTTGGTGGAAATCATGCCTGTGTGGATGCATTGATTTGCTGCTTGGTGCGAACGCCACAGGCAAAACCCAGCGCAACTTCGGAATCCTGGTTGCACTTTGCAAGGAACCATTTGTACGATGTACGCGCAGAGTTCGTCGATGCTTCCATCGTGATTGCCGGATGGCTGCCGGATTGCACAAGATGCTGTGCCCTGAAGCTCGGGCGGCTTGCATTGATGGCCAGGCACTCAACCTCATAACGAATAAGATCCTGGAGCGAGGGCGAGCAACAAACCTGAGACAGCTGCCACTATTCCTTGGAGCATGTATTGCATTTGTCGTACTGAGCTGGAAAAAGCTTGGTGCGATGGCATGTGCTAGGAAGAAATGCATGCGGCATGCCACTCATCATTCGGAGCTGCACGGGTTTGAATGGGCCTCCTTGGTTCATACTGCATTCATACTGCACGTGTACCTGCATGCTCATTCTGATTACTCTGCAGCAAACGCGCAAGAGAGCAAGAGGATCCTCAATTTTCTCTCGCTGTGGCTCTGCGCATTCCTGCGACACCTTTTGAAGTCTACGAGAAAGAAGGACACGGAGTCATGTCTTCACAATTTCTTTCACTGCGGTCAAACCTAGGATTAACACTCGATGGTCTGAAACACGAAAGAGCGATCGTTCACGTGCTTCGCGAGCGCTGACCTGCAAGCGGTCAAGTTCGCAGAGTTCTTGGCTGAGTCAGCAAAAGAGTAATGCATATAGTAGTGCTCAGATTGTGAAACCCAGCACCGGTTTAATCACTTAAGTGGCATTGGGTGACAATGGGGCTCACTCTAGGAAGCGCAGAGTTTTGGGCTTAGTCCTGCAAAGAAGGCCTCCGTCACTCGTGCATTCCTGCCCTTTGTAGCGGCAGCTAGCTAACAACGGACACCTGTGGTCAACAAAAAGTCCTGAACGCTGACAATTCCTTTTCTTGTCGGCCGGCTTCTCCAGAAGGTCGCAAATGTTGCAACCACAGTTTTCGAGCATTCAGACTCCTTCTTTCTTCAACTGAAAAACACACCGACCACGAAGATCGCACAGGTTTCATGACACTGTCACGTCTTCTTCAACACGAGTGGTGGCTGAACACGACATCACGCCACAACGCCTTGTCTTGCAGATACCGGTTCACCCAGTTCTGAATGGCGTCAACATGCCTGATTGCCCGCACTGAAGCTCTTGCAGGATTTCTGCATCGTCTTCTTCGGCATTGTCGGGTCGTCCTTCCTCTTGCGCTTGTTCTTCTCAGTGAGTTCAAGCCGAACGCCATTTGCAAATCCATGGTGCACTCATGCAGCTGCTGGCAACCACCAACTCTCGCACTGAACTTCACACTCGCGTAGAATCTCCTCATCATCAATTGCATCTTTCCCAGAATGGGCAAGATGCAACCTACTGCTGTGGATTTCAAAGTCATGCAACGTCTGCAAAATCAGTCCCCGGCATATTCTGGTATGTTCTAGCATTCTCCTTGCAGACTGGCAGAGAAGCCACACTCATCACGAGAGCATAGAACTCCAGCAATGCACAGTATCTCCATGCTCTGTCCTCTGGGCAGCTCACTTGCCAGTCATCTTTCAAGCAAGGAGTAGGAGAACCGAAGACCTGGACCGTAGAGAAATTCAGTGTCCGGGCTTGGTCATCATAGTTCCTTTCGCCGGACTTCAACTCCGCATCCCGGTGTAGTCCAGGTGCAACGCACATCGTGGTGAGTTGACGAAGCTGAAGGAACATGAGGGCGCCATGACACACTGTTCCACGTGAGCCCCAGAATTCCTCTCTGAGTTGCTCGAGTTGCTCGAGGTGGTGCTAGCAGCTGCTAGCAGCTGCAGATGCGCGAAACGCTTCAGCTCTGCCATGAGGCACAAAGGCTCTGTGCTCATGACCGTGGCTTTGTCCCTGATGTGATCTCGAGCCTTCCTGGCGAAGCGGCACCCCTAGTCATGGCATCACCTCGAAGCTATGATTCACGTGTCTCTCATTCACTGTCTAAGCAGTGGACAGCCGAGTTCATCGCAGACATCATTCAAGCCATCACACATCACCGTCAAGACTGTTCATTCGCGGCTTACTCTCATGAGGAGACAACTTCGGGTAGCTGCTGGGCCCCGGGCTGTATGTACAACAAAGCAGCTCAGCTCAATCATTTCTCTTCTGCCCTCGGCTGTGGTGCTTTTGCGACTTTTGCTGAGGAACTTCAAGCTTTGCTGACTGGTTGGGATCACGCTTGAAGTGGGCATGCTGCAAAAGCTAAGGAAGCAATGCATGCGATTTGCAATGTTCTGGCCCAATGAGCAGGAGCCTAGAAACTTGACTTGCCAACCACGCAGGCTGCAACATGCGTGTTGGTTTAACAGCTGAACTTGGCTTCAAGAAGGTGCGTCTGCGCCTGTCTGCACATGTATGGCTGTGCGCAAGCTTGCTCACGCATACGTGCGCACACAGACATGCTGTCCTTCGAGCCTGCATCGTGCACTTTGTCTTAAAGAACCATCCACAATGCTAGCACTGGACAGCAACCCGAGCCACAGGCCAGGAAATATCATCTGACCCGTCCGGCTGCAGGTGTAAATGCCATACGCCTGCGGACAGACTTCTGTCTTCTCCAGGCCAGGAAAGACATGTAAGGCTCAGGGCATGGGGTAAAGCGGAAGCAGCTGAAGTCCCAAACAATATAATATGGTCGGATTTAGGCACAAAACTGAGTTAGAGACACATCCACTCATGGCATAGGAACACACCACTGGCAAACAGGCCTCATCGTCGTAGCGTTGGATCTGAGTAGTCAGATATGACTTGTTGTTATTTTGAGATGGGCACTGCAAGGATGAGTGGGATCCTCTGGAGGTTTTGTGACTTTCTGAAAGTTCTCTAGGAGGCCCGGCGAGCAGGGAATAGAATCGTTTCAAGTGAGCGCAACCCACTTCTTGCGATGCAGCGACATTGAACAGCAACGGGCTTCACCGAATGATTCCCCAAGGTGTGGGCCGACAGGGATGGCTGCACCGTCACGGCCAAGCGCGCAGTGGGAAACGAGGCCATCTTGCGTGCCTGGCAGAAAAAAATCACGCAGGGACACGCCGACAGAGGGGGGTCCAGCTTCGCCACTTCCCCCACTTAAGCGCTCGCTTGCTCGAGACTCTTTCTCTGATTAGTGAAGAGTTGAAGCCGATATGTCGAAGTCTATTTATGTTGAAGCTCTCTTCGGACATTCCTCTTCGCCCAGAGCCTCTTTTGCTCTTTTGCTCGATGAAACCTAATCTTGAAGGACTGTTTCCGCTGCGTAGATGCTTGAAGGCTTCACGTTCTTTCACTGTTGGCGCTTCTGTCTGAAGCTGTTTTACAGATTCCTGTTCACTCCCACCGCCAATCGTCTTCACCTCTTCTGACTGGCCCCAAAAATATCGCAGGCCCCAAAAATGTATGTAGCAACACTTCGGATTGTGTCTCTTTTTCACTTGGGCAGAGATCTCGGGTCTTTGAAGTCTGGTGCCCACAAATCGCCTCGGATACTTCCTAATCAGGGACTCCACACACTGAGATGGAACCATGCTGTACATAATCGATTCAAACTAGTCTTCGGTCTTCGCCTCGGAACTCGTCTTGCCCTTTGGTGGGCAACCCCGACAAGCATCTTTCGCCGCCAAAAAATCTTCCGAACTCGTCCCCGTGGCCTACTGTAGATCTTCGCCCTCCAAGCACTTCTAGAATGGCTCCCCAACTTACCCACTTGCCCCACTTGCCCCACTTGCCCCACCCCCAACAAAGGACGAGGGATCCAGGGCTCTCTGTGCTGAGCTGCTGACAAGCGCCAAGGCAGTTGCCTTTGTTGTCCTGGCGCATAACTTGGGTCTAACGGAGAGTGAGAACACCGTGTGACAGCTGATGCAGGCAAGCAGCTTATTGTCGGCACCGATACGAGCTGCCATTCCAGCCTCCCGGCGTTTTGAGCAGAACATCTAAGCCATCGGAACCCCCAAGTCGGAATCCAGTCCCTCCAGGTGTTCACGCAAAATTCTTGCCCAACACGGCAACCATTCCAAGCGACAAGAGAAAACCTCAATCCGCCACAAGCATCGAAGAGCTCCGGCCTTCTGAACAGCAACGGCACTAACTGTAGAGTCAGTGAGGTAGATGTCCATCCTGAGCCAGTGCAGTCAGACTCTGCCCCCCGGCAGTTCGCCAACCACAGGAACTGCCCACGTAAAGCAACTATCTTTTGCGGCGGCCGCACGTAAGGAGCTTAATCTCCAGTCATACCGCAAGAATGTCTGATGTGAGGCGTCCGGTAGGATGAAGCCAAGCATCAGCTTTGTTGCAGTACCAATGGACCAATCACCCAAATCACCCAAATCACCAAACCACCCAAATCCCTCAAATCACCCAATTCACCCAAATCACCCAAATCACCCAAATCACCCAAACCACCCAAAGCCAATCTACGAATCCTTCCCTTCAGAGGCGAGTCACGCAGCCGTAAGCCCTACATGTTGCGGGAGGTGCTTCGACAGAAACATGATCGGACACGCACCTGGCCCACGGGCGCACATGATTTAGCGATGATCTTGGTTTTTTGCATCGTGTTGCATAGGGAAACATGTCAACATCATGAGCAAAGCAGGACATTGCACCATTTAACAACTTGACAATGCGTAATGGAACTTAACATCTAATGAAACTTAGCATCTTCCGGGTGTGAGAATGTGAAAACTCTGGATCAGGATATACCAGAGCTTGCAAGCTACGAAGGTCTCTGAAGCCAACGCCTACTTGGAGGCCTCGGCTGATGTTGCCGAAGGCTGCGCTGCCATTCTGGGCAATCACACGCTCCGTGCAGTTGAGCGACCTCGGTGGAGAAGTTGGGGGCAAGCAGATCCCACCGCTGATTACCACTGACTTAGCTACCACATGCGAGCTCAGCGTCCACACAACTTCCCTGCAACGTTTGAATCCAACAAGAGCTCGATGCAACATCTTACAATTCGGCTCTGAGACAGGAGAGCTGCGATGTCACACGGCCCAAAGGCTGAAGGCTAGTGTCGTGGCAGCACTCATGCCAATGAGGTCAGTAGAATCAGTAGAAGAGGAGCCAGGGACAGTGAACATTCGTGAAGCATTCGCAAGTGACTGGTACAGGTCACATGTGCCCAGAGACTGAGCACTTCACACGGCCACTCCTCCGCCGATTGCGTTGCCAGTGATCGCCACGACGCTTGGAATCGACAACTCCTGTCTACGAAAAAGCGACACACAACATGGAGTCTAGAGTCTAGAGTTCCTCCACTGTGTCCTCATCCTAACACAGATGCGTCAACATGCGTCAACAAGCCGCATCTGGGCCTTCATCCGCACAACGAACAAGGATGACGAAGCGTGTGAGGCCATCTGGTAGGGCGTGGCTCCCGGAGGAGCCACGGGGTGATGGTTGCCTGCCATCAAAAGCACTCGCAACCCTTGAGCAGCTACGAGACACATGAGGGGTCGGGGTTGTTGGTGGCCTCCCGGGCAAAGGTGAGGTCCCGCACCCTGCAAGACAGCTGCCAGCGGCATTGCATTCCTCTCCATTCGGAGGCAGAGGAGGATTTCCAATGACTTGTAACAGATACAATTCTTAGATATTCAGCATCGGAGATGCTGTGCATCACTCACAACTTGCACACAACTGAGCCAGCCCTCGGCACTCTCAGGCAATGGGCCTGCTCTTGCAGCGGGACATATGCAGTTGGTAAGCATCCATCATGTACAGGAAGTCCGTACCTCACCATGAGAAGTGGCCCTTCTGGCATGGATACTTGTGTCTGTGCGTGCCATTCACGAGCTCAGCTAGAAGCACGCAGACTGGATTCTAAACCTGATATTGGGAGAAACCATGGGCACGGACACGCTCTGGAATATTTGCTCGTGAGACCAGCAGTGAGAATCTCACATCTCACGCCGTTGGTCCTTACACAACCTTTCTCCACCTCTGATCAGTGAACTGGCTCCAATCTGTGTATAGAATGTGAAGCGAAATCGCCAATCAGGCAGTGAGTCATTAACATGATGACCTCGGACTGGGAATCTGAGAATGGCAACTCAAAGGATCAAAGAGCTCTGTCTTGCGGATGCGTTGCCAGGCTCATTTAGTCCGAGGCTAGATTTGGCTATATATGGTACAAGTGAAACTGGGTCAGACTGCAATTGATCGACCTTCATCGTCTCCACTCACAATCTACCACACCAGGCACGTCGCCAGGCAGGAAATCGGAAGTCTTAGTACTCAAGAAGCTCCACTGCTGATCCACGCAGGCCGTGTCTCTCTGCTCGACTGAAGAGCTCGGCTCGACGATCCTGGCAGCGGCTAATTGCGGCAGATTAGGGTGAGTTATGGCTGATTCAAGGCATCAAACTTTCAATCTAATGTGTCGACAGAAGTTGCGGAAAAAGCAGACAAACGATACGAGTACTTTGTTCTTGGCAAGGCAACCACGGCCAGCAGATGGCAGCCGCTCTCGTCAAGGCTTTGAACCCGGAAGGCAGAGTAGGGCGGGAAGAGCGTCTCGCTTTCCTTCTCCTTCCAGGAGATGTCCTGTGAAGGTTGGGAGACAGTCCCGACTTAGATCGACGTTTCGCCTCACAACTAGAAAAAAAGACAACAAAACCATTTTACTTCGAACATCCCCTGTGGGCACTCCAGGGAGACTCTGGGGTTGGGCACTCCAGGAAGCCTCTGGGGTCGGGCATTTCAGGGTGTCTCTGAGGTTGGGCACTCCAGGGAGACTCTGCGGTCCAGTCTCTGGTGGCCGTTTCAGTCAGTCTCTGGGGTTGGGCACTCCAGGGAGTCTCTGGGGCACTCCAGGGAGTTTCCGGGGTTGGGCACTCCAGGGAGTCTCTAGGAGTAGACCGGGCGAGGAGAAGCGTTTAGGGCGAGGAGAAGAGTTGAGTTTAAAATCTAACAACATCTAACAACCCCACACCGAAGGTGGGGAAAACTTCGAGAGAAACACTTCGTCACTTCGCACATCAACGGATAAGGGTCCTGGATATCTCGCGCTCCCCAGAAGCCTGGAGGGATGTCGATGGTCCAGAGGTAGCCCTTGCCATCCTCCCTCGCACGATACTTCTCTGCCAAAGTCTTTTCTCGCGTTGTGCTCTGGAACTGGCGAAAGCGGACAAAACGGTCCAGACGCATTGCCTCCCTGAGCTTTTGCATGTTTAATGGAACGGGCCTCTGCGTGTCGCCCTTCCACACCCGACCTCCTTCGTGGATACGTTTGGAGCCATTCTCTTCATCGTAGAGGAGAAGGTACACCATGCGCTGAATCAGGGGCATGGCGTTCTCCAGATTGCTTCGTGCGTCACAGTTCAGTGTATTGTTAAGCGCGCGATAGTACAGTGAGTAGTCCTGGCCGGTGTTCAGAGTGACCCTCTGGCCTAACTTCTGATGCGTAGTATACAAGTAGAGTGATGCATCTTGATGGGAGTCGAAGAGCTCAAGCAAGGACTGCAACTTGGAAGCATCGATTTCAAAGGGCTCGCCGTCAGCATCTTCAAGGTTGCTCAGCCACTTCTCCAGGCTCCATCTTGCAGCCTCCTTTGAAACAAACTCCACATCTCCAACACCCTTGCTGCACGGGTACAAACTGGCAAAATGCGAGGAGAGCAGTCCATGTGTAGTACAAAGGGATGAGTATTCCTTGTCGTTGACGGGCGCCAAGAATGCAGACCAGCAGGTGAAGGAGCCCGTGCCTGTTGACAAGGTCACCAGCATCCCCTCATGCCCCTTGCGAAGCCCACTGCCTTCACTGACGGTCTCAGAGATGTCCTCAACCTGGCCACGACGCTGCCAGTTTGCCCCACGTTGGAAACATACGACCTGGTCACCCACTTCCGGTGGATTATCAGGCGAGTAGAAGCCAGCTCGCCGTGCCTGCTGGATTGAAAATGGACCCGCAAAGGCCACGTTCCCAAAGTACGGCAGGTCGCTGGTTGTCCATTCCAACTGGTCCATGGCCTGGCATGCCTCGGCCAGAACTTCTGCCGGAGAGTTCGTTCCATCAACGGAGACCACCTTGTCTTTAAAGAAAGGTAGAATCGTCTCGATGTGACGCTTATAAGTCTCCAAGCGCTTGGAGACCAACTCTTCCTGGTCGTCACTCCGCTGGACCAAACGCTGCGCCACCTGGGGTTGGTCACTCGGTGGTGGTCGAAACGTCAGGTGGTAGATCCTTCCAGTCAGAGGATCAATCCGGCGCTCTAGGGAGCGTAACCGGAGCTCTTCGTCCGGGACCTTCACCAGCAACACTTGGTCCACGCGCATGTTGCCCACCAATGTAGATGCCTGGCCGGCTGTTAAAGGGAAGTTGTCCAACAAACATCCTCGCGTGAGAATATCCGGTTTGCTCATGCGCTCTCTCATGATGCTCATCACCAGCTCGTGAGGAACCAACTTGCCCTCCATCATGAACTGATGCACCTCATCGAGCATTTCCCTTAGCCCCAAACATCCCTTCAAACATCCCGAGCTACCTGGGACATGGCGGACATACCACTACCGTGCACAGTCACGTACCGGCCTTGCGCCCAAGATCGTTCTCCCGCTCCACCTCCTCTCGTAGAAGCTGCCCTGGTGATATGTGGACCAAGCCATAACGCTTCTCCAAGCCGTCGCATAGCGAGCCTTTCCTGAGCTGATAGTTTGGCATGGAGTGAGCGAAGGACGCTAAGACATCGCATGATTGGAGGTTCAAGGCTAGTTGCCGCAATAGTGGTACATAGCAAAAGTAGCGTCTGCAAACATCTCTTTACATTCAAGGCTCCCTGCTGCAGGAGGTCCAGCCACAACAACGACGTGCCTTGGAACCCACGCTGGGATGCCTGGGGGGAGGGGCCTTGGGGCGCCCCGGGAAGGCCCCCGGCTGACAGTGCGCTGTGAATAACGCGAGACACATACATGGATGAAAAGAAACAGCAACAAACCCTTTTCCTAAGAGTGCTGTGGGAAAGAAGATCCAACGGCCAATGAGGACGACAAGAATCTGGCCAAAATCCAAAAAGTGTTCAATCCACATGAGCTGGGACGAAATGAACCATGAAATCTGGAAAGCCATGCTAGCAGCTAGCAAAACGGCACGGTGATGTCAGTTAAAAAGCAGCAAGAAACATTTCCTACCGGAAGGTGGCGACTGTCGAGCATATCGAGCCCTTGTACGTGTCTGCGTGCTTATCCTTGTCGTTTGCATCGAGACATCTCATACGAAAAGACTCGGACATCTCGTAAAAGACAACTCGGCGCGACAGCAGCACTGTCTCATTGGGGACTTTTGGTATAAACACGTTGCATCATGCGGATAACTCAAGCAGTGCAATTGCAACTTGCACGATTCGAAGATGTCACAAACGTCTTTATGCAGATGGGTAGGAAGCGCTGAGTATCTTCTTCCCTTTGTCAAATTGATGGAAGAGAGCCAAGCCCTGAATCCTGTGCAAACATGATGAATGTAGTTGCTCGTGGGGCGTGACCCCGCTGCAGCTGTGTACCAAGGTGGTTCACACACACAAGCAAACAAGCAAGCAAGCAAACAAAGCAAACAAACAAACAAACATAAGCAGTGGCTGATGAGCAAAGCCAGGTCCCTGGCATGAGGAGCCCTCTTGGCTAAGCCTGCTTATGAATGCCTACATCCCCAGATGCCTTCAATACTTGCAAAGAGATTGGCCTCCTGACGGCTTGAAAACCCAAGAAGTTTGACAACAGGAGGCCACGGCTGTGGCATTTGCACGAAAGGCATCTCTGGCCAGATTCTTCCGTTCGCAGGCCGCTTCACCGCGTTGCCCATGGGTAGCGAAGAACCGCCAGGGACTGAATTCTCCGATACTTGGCTAAGGGCAAGGAATCCACCAGCTTCAGCTTTGGTCCACACTAAGGTTGCATTGGAACCCGGAACATGGATGCCCGTGTTTGCGCGTGAAACAACGGCGCTTGATAGCACTTCGTGTCGTAGTTCATGCTCCAACTTGTGTCGTGTGCGTTGGATCCGAAGAACCTGCATTGAAAAGTCTGAGCCGACTTCCAAGCTGCACATGCTTCTGAAACAAACATACACCATGTGAGGGCGACCGTTGGCTCGAGTTCAGACGTGCAGCCCAATGCAACGAGCTGAAGATGTCTGGGGCGACGGCAAAGCACGGGATCGAGCATATTGAATGTGTGCTTGCTGTTCAACTCCTGCAATGTGCAGGGCTCAGGCAGCAGACTGTTTGAAATGGGAGCAACACCCAACTGCCCAACCTGGAAACACCCGCCCACCTGCATGCCTCCCTGCATCACTACCGATAAGCTCAGACTTGGGTCCAGAAGTAACACCGGCGGCGACGACTGTGAAAGAAGCGCGCGGCACTTCTGATCCTGCCAGGATTCCCGGAGCAATTCTCCAACCTCAAGCAACCTCAAGAGCTTTCAAAGAATCGGTCCTCCACTTCTCCAAACCCGAAAAGCCCGAACTGATTCTGCCATGAATGGGCCAGACTCCACCAGTATGCCTGCCATCCGCCATTCATCTTCACACTACATGACAGCGAACTTGAACTCGGGGAGTTTCTCAGCAAACGGTCGGGATTACTGCTGTGTAGCTTCCGCACTTGTTGATGTTAGTCATCCTGGCGAAAGTTGTGGCATGATGCAATAGAACACATCAAGAATGTTCGGCGAAAATCAGCAATGTTGCTCAAAACACCGTCCTGTTGTACTGGCTCGGAAGAAGACCAGTTCCTATCAGCTGCCTGCAAGCACGCGTCCAGATGATCTGACAACAAGAATCTGAAGGGCAGTGCATGTACTTGCAAGCACTGGACGCTGTGGACAACAAACATGCATGACCATGATTCTGCCAAAATCAGTCAACACCGATGCAAGATTCTCAAAATGCCTTCAGGACTGCGCTGTGGAATCGTAATACGGAGCAACAAATCATACTATTGCAGTGTCGAGAAAAGCTTAAACTTCCGACGTCGAAAACAAAACAAACGCTCTCAGCGAAACCTCTTGCGTGGAAGATCGCGGCCATTCATCTTGTGGAGAGACTCTTGCCTCATGCCCAACACTTCAGAAAGCGATCGTGTCAACCAAGAGCCTGCAAGTAGAAATCACAAATGCTGATACACTCAGAAAGGCCAGGGACAAACATCTCTGACAACACGGCATGGTTCCCAAAAGCTGCAACTACAACATCAGAAACACAAACACAGCCATGGATTTTCAACCGAACCGTGAGAACGACTTAGTGCCAAGCTCCAAATCCGCGTTCGCATCCTCAATCTGTTTCTGTCGGGCTGCTATTTCCTTGGAAAGCGTTAATTTCACAACTCAAATCAGGTGACTCATGTCGTTTGCCTTTTCTGTGCCATACTGTGGAAACTGAACGTGGATTTCCGCTGCACCTCACATTACGAGCCAGCCGACCGCTCGGATGAGACGTGCATAAGTGTCTAGTGCAGCTTCGTCCTTCACCTTGGCAAGCTTTCGACTCTCCTTTCTTCCACGACCGAACTGCTGCCTATGCATGCACAATTCGTCAATGTGCCTCCGCAGCAACCATCAGCACAAACAACTGCCGTGCACCGATTCCAAGGAAGTATTTACGGCTGTCGTCCGGGTTTCCACTACAAGCTACGTCACTCGTCGTTGACATCGTCCTCTTCACTAGTACATTGTGCGGAACCAATGCTTGGCTAGGTCGCATCCATGAACAACGTGTGAAACTGGCAAGCTTGGAGACAAAATGGCCATGCACGAGTTCGTCATGGCGATGATTGGAATAGCTGTGGTTTCAAATTTGCATGAGGTTTGCATGGTAGGTAAATGTAATACAACGGCATTCGGTTCCATGCTTCTGTTTTTCTCAACTGTCGGGCAAGCACAAGCTTTGCTCTTGCACATTGTCCACATTCAAAGTTTGGCAAAGCAGATGCACACCGTGCTCCCACAACGTCCCGAAGTACCTTGGGTCAGATCGGATGGCGCGAACCACCATGAAATATAATCGTGCCGCAAAAGCAACTCAGCATTGCTTTGGCTAAAGCAAACCGTCGTTTAGCCCTTGATCGTGACAACCCTCTTGCAATGCGCCCAAGCAGCAGACGTTCTGGCATCCTCACTTTGTTTTGAATGTTACGCATGCTCGCTGGCTGCATGCGTCTCCAACCACCTGAAGAATTTTATTTCAGGTGTGAGCTTTGACATGCAATAAATTGGCAACATAAGCAATTGCGGTACGAATGCAAGATTTTGCCCTTTGAGTGCAGCAAATTTTGCTTCGCTGTTGACATGGAGAACTTCTTGATGCTAGTTGTAGGAGGAAGATGGCTGCGAGCACTACCCTACGCTTTCTCAAGCCTGGCACGAAGATTTTGGGCGGCAAAGATGTATCGCACCCTGCTGTTGCACGCAAAACAGAATCCACAAAACGCCTTTTTTGCGAAGCAAAGTGCACCGACTTCATGAGCACCGTCATGCGCGATTCCGGACTTCAACGCACAACCTGATACCAGCTCAAAACCACCGCTCAATTCCAACTAAAGGGTTGACAACCTTCCCAGAACAATGCTGGGTCCCTACGCTCTTCTCACAGCCTGCTTGCAGCACCCCGTTGTCCAACGACTCTCCAGCCAGCAATTGGACCACCGACTTCGTTGTCAACCAACAACTTCTTTGCTCTCTTCTTCCGTGGGCACCTTGTCCACGACACCCAAGTCTTGAAACTTCTTTGTCTGTGTTTTTTTTCGAAAGTCTCAGGTTCTTACAAGCTGAGAAGGCTTGTTCTTCTGCAGAGAAACTTCGTGGGACTTGAACTGCTTCTCGTTGCCGTTAAAATCACTCCACTCGTCTTCTGTCTCCAGATCATTATGAGGCATTCCTGTTCTCAGCATGCTCTAAGTCCAAAGCTCGACTAAGGAAAACTGCTTTTATTCTTTGGGATCTGGTTGAATACCTTCAAGATCATGCGCGTCATGAACGAGTTTGAACTCTTTACGCATCGTCGGCAACTTCATCTGACAGTTCTTTCGTCTTTAGAACATGAAGGTTCAAGTGAATTCCAAACACAGATAAGAGCTTGGATTGGTGCTTCCGACCCAGAGATGTCAGCAATAATCTAAGCTTGCAAAGCAAAGATCGAAGGCTTCACACGATTTTGCACACGAAAGTGCCACCAGGGAAACAAAGTCCAAGAAGGAACAATGGATGCTGCATCTTCACAAAGCGAAAAACTCAGCAACAAGTCTCCACACCAAGAATTCCAGCCTTTCCATGGAGAAACCAGCTAAGCCAGCTAAGCCGGTTGACTTGTCCGTAAAAGTGCCCTCTGAAGGTTTACCCGGGTTTCCTTATTGCCTCAGTTCCAGGTTCAGCAGATGCCGCAGTCTCCATTCAGACAAACCCCGTCGTGGGTCTTGCGCAGCGTTCCAAGTTCAGCAGATGCTACAGGAGGCAAATGGGGGGGCTGCGCCCCCGCCAACCCTCCGGCTTTTTTCTGCCGGGCAAGCTCGCGTGGAAGCATATGAATCGCCTCTGAAACAAAACATGGGGTCTCGGCTTGGCCCCGCGCCACGTTACTGCTGTGAACTCTCTGCTTCTTGAAAATCGAGTAATGAACACGAAAAACAAGAAGAAGCGGGGTGGAATTGCCCTTGAGCTTCCCTTTAACAAAGAATCTCTGGTTTCGAAAAAATAAAACCCAAAAAAATAAAACAAGATTCGAGGGGGTGAAATTTAGAATACATTCTCTTCTTTCTTTGTGTAAAGGAATATGAATGTTTGGAGTCTTACTTCTCTGGTTTCAAAGGAATGAAATCCAAAAAAAACAAACACAAAATGTATCACAAGATTTGAGGAGGGTGGAATTTAGAACACATCCTTCTTTCGCTTTGTAAAAAGAAATATGTTTTATAATTGAAATACTTTATAACTTGGGTTTATACGTCCATCTGATGCATCATCTGTAACATTGTGGCAGCTATCCTTTTTCTGTTTCTTCTGTGCGGCTTGGTGGCTTGGAGGTTTGGCTTTTTGAAGCTAGAAATTGCTGCTTAGGTTTCTCAACCTTGTGACAGCACCAGTCGCAGCATGGCCTTCGACGTGAAAAACCGAAGGTCCCTCTGGTACCTTTTCCCTTGAAAGCACGAACCCTGACCTCTCACACAAGTGCGGACAACTCTCTCTTTTTCACAGTCAGAGCCACTTGAGCCTTGAGCCAAAAGTCACGAAGTGCACAAACTAAACGAATTCTCTCTTGTGAGCTTAAACTCAGCTTCAGAACGAAGTTCCTACACACTGCACACTCACTTTAAATAGCGTATTGGGCAAAAACACACTCGTATGATTTCCTTGGAAATCAACGAGGCATAAACCATCGAGGATGGGATCACACGGATTCCCAATCACTCCGAAGCAACACAAACCTATACAAGCTGATCCAAAACATGACAAAAACATCACTGATCAGCCACAATCTTCCACACCCCGCATTTTGCTGAGGGTTCATGTCAAAGATCTGAAGTCCAAGCCCAGCTCGGCACTTCAACACTAAGGGGATGCCCTGGCCACATTCCCTTGGTGCGTACTCGCAACCAAACGAAACAAACAACACACCAGTCGATCTCTGACATCAAACTTAAAACTCATGCAAGATCCCACCATCAGGCAGGTTGTCCTGGGTCCACATCACTGGTAACCCAAGAGTTCGTTGTCCAAACACGTGAAAAACTAATTAAACTTGCATCCACCTGCACTGGGGCAGGGTTGTCTTGGAACGAATCCAAGAGTTCGTGGTGACAAACACGTGAAAACGAATTAATGCAAGCTTCAGATGTTTCCCACTCAGAACTCGACCTTGTCGTGGTACTCCTCCTCAGTCTCGCATCTTCCAGGTCACCAAACTCACCAACTAGCATCGGCTAGCTGATCCTTCAGGAAAAGATTGGCTTCATAGTTTCGCTTCTTCCAGCGTACCATCAGCCAAAAACGTCTTCAGAGGTGGCAATCAGACGCCTTGCAGAAGGGGCTATAGAGTCCCTCGTTGAGTTTCATCATCATTTTGCCTCCTCTTTGCAAACTTCTCATGCACTGAAACAAGGGCTCACACTAACCAGAAAAATCGCGGGCGCTCCATGGCGGCAACGCGGCCATGGCTTCCAAAAAAATGGCTGCGGGTTTCACTCACCCACCCAACCACTGAGATCACTTAGCATCTCAGTTCATTCTTCATCCTCTTCGCCCTTCTTCTCGCCAGCTCCAGTTGACTCCATCAACTTGGCGCGGCGCTCCTTGGCGGCTTCCTTCATCTCCGCCAACTCAGCTGTCCTCGTTTCCATCACCACATCCTGCGAAGATCGGCTAGGCTCAGCTGGCGT